CTACCCTTGCGAATTTTCCCTTGTACTTGAAATAGCCCCCAGCAAAAGCAATAGAATGTGGTTTATAGACTGTGGTTTTGAGAATCCAACCTAACAGTTTTGATATTTTGCCCACATCCTAAAGGGGAAACCCATGGCATCTAGTCAAACTTTTTTTTTAGACAGTTTTAGACTTGGGTGCTTTGGAATTTGAGTGGTGCATGGGTTGGCTACCTAGATATAGCAGTATGACGCATGCACACAGTCATTACTTGTGCATCATTTCCTCATTTCTTTACATAATCCAGTTTTCTCCTGTGTTTGTCTTGTGAAGCAGCAGTTTCGCACTAATGCACTTCAAAAGCCTCAGGGTGCCTCATATAGTAGATTAGAGGGAAGTGTGACTTAAATAGTTTTAAGCTGCTCTTCAATTACAAAAGGTTTCAGCCTAATCTATAAAAAAACTCCTGCCAAGTGCATCCAGGCCAGCTTCATACTGGTGGGAATAGTATTGTGGTTGATACTGTATGTCTCCTTGCTGGCACGTTATGCACCTATAACTGTGATCAGACTATTTGCATACAAGAAATCTACCCCCCCCAAGCTCTTTTTTTTTCCCCACTCGGCAGTAATTTCTTTTGAAATGGTCATCCAGAATTTTTGAATCTTTCAATTTGGCAAGGGTGTCTTACTCTTCAGGTGCTTCTGCTTTGCAGTAATGCCTTCAGTCGTTAACTGAGTTAGTCCCACATTTATGGGACTAATTTGTGAGGAGAAAAAGCTATATACAGCAAGACCCCACTTTTTTTTTTGATGTGCCATGTAATTTCTCTACTGCATTGTCCTGCTGGAAGATCTCTTGCATTGCTTCTAAGAACAGGGAAATCTGTTGCCTTAAGGACTTTAACAATATATTCTAGGAGTGGACACAGTCTGGACCAGAATTATTCTGCTGAAGATTTTGCCCCTTATCACAGGGCCTCCCCGTTTGTTTTGCTTGTGCTCATAATGATGGCCCCCAAATCGCCAATTTCTTGACTCCTAAAAGAAACTCCACCTTGGTCTCATGTTCTCCAGCCTATAGAAGCTAGCAGGCAGCCAAAGTGAATGTTTTCTTCCTAGAACTCCTTTGACATCTAGGAGGTGACCTGTCCCCCTCAGAGCAGTGATCTCTGGCTAGTCTGCCGATTGCTCAAGCAGAACATCCTGTTCCCTGGACTGCTTCTCATGCGCTGCTTTTATAATCCATTAGTTTTTGTTAAAAGTAGGGCATGATTGTCTTTTGCTGCTTGCTTATTGTTTTTTTTTAGCAGCAACTTAGGTTTAATGAAACAAGAATGAAATCTTGGATCAGAACTATGGTTTCCCAAAATCTAATTTTTTGTAGTCTATGGCTTTCGTAGCTGAACTTTCTCCTGGGTTACTGACTGAAATGTTTACTCCTAAATTATGGCCCATGTGCTCTTCCAATGGAGAAAAATGATAGACTATTCCAAATCACCCAAGGGGTGTTTGCTATTTAATCATGTGCAGCTGTCTAAATAGTCACACGGTTTCCTGGTGAAGGTTCCTAGCATTAAGACTGTCGGTGTGATCAAGCAGAGTAAGTTGTGCTTGTGTGAGAGGGAACATGCTTATTGGTACAGGTTTCAATGAATTGTGTACCCTTGTACTGCTGGTCATGGTGCTGTGGCAGCAGAGCATCAGAAAGGAATTGCCAGATAAGTGAGGTTCTGCTGCAGTGTAGTTTTAGTTTGGTGTGACCTATGGGTGAAGTATTGTGGTCATGGCCAGCCTCTCCTCTAGCCAGTGGGCTTATGCCCAGCAGTGAGCTGCTCTTGACAAGAACATGAAGTAGTCAAGCTGTAGATCCACAAGATAGTGCTTTTCTCTAGTGCCTTGACATGAGTACTAATAACCTCATCTTAGTTGGCAGTATGTGACCAATTAAGCGGTTTGGTTCCCATTCAGCTCAACAAGAGTGGTGGGTACCTGGTAGGTAACAAGCTGTGCTGTGAGGGGTCGTGTTAGGTGTGGTGGACAATGACCCTTCATTTGAATTTCAGAACACTACTAGACATTACTAGGTGACATCCCACCTCTTGTTGCATCGCTTAATTTTTTTTTAATAAACTGCAGCTTGACTTCAGTTCCTGAAAAACAAATCTATAACCTTTTTTAACATTTCAGCTTGTGTTCCGCGTAGGAATTCATTTAAGTTTTTAATAGTACTGCATTATATGGCATTTAAAATGTCACGAGCAGGATAGTGGAGTGCTCTTCCTTTGCACGGACATTTACCTCCCCATGATAGGAGCATAGCTGTAAAAGTTTATATCAAAAGTACCTAGGTGCATTTTTTCTGCATTTATTGCCTACTAAGCTTGGTTTTTATGTTTGAAGATGATTGGTTTAATGTTGCTATTAACATGTTCTGGTTGCGAAACCTTTGGAGGTACTGTTGTACATGTGATTCTGGATAAGCGCAATTAACTTGAAGGCCAAACCAGAAAGCAGTTTGAAGACTTCCAATAAAGTCCCTACCCACAACTGTTAGAGAAGTAAGAAACTGAAGCGATGCCACATTTTGGAGTTCATTGACTAAACATTTTTTGCAGAGCAGTTTGTGGTACATGGCAGTTGTCCAAGCAGGTGAAGTTGATGACCTGTTGAGGGAATGAAAAGGGGATATCAAGTTTGGAGTTGATTGGCCAGATAGTTTCTGAGCTGGAGCATATCACTTTTCCCAAAGTATATGGTCTCACCTGGAGTACAAAAGCAATGTTAAAGTTTTTATAAATATTTAGTTGTTGGTAATCTTCCCAGTATCAGTTCAACAGTTTGGTGGTTTTCATGTTCCGTCTTGGATGCTGTTTTGTTCCAGTGCACCTACCCAAGGGTGAGGTTGCTGGGATGCTTGGCCTTTGAACTTAAGCCCTTACAAACACTCATTTTCCATTAAATCTTGAGACTTATCAACTTGACATAACATCTCAGGATATGGACCTAGTCCATTAAGAAAAGACCGTGTTGTGTGCTCTGGGAATTTGTTCACCTGCAAAGTATAAAATGTATAGTTTTTAGGCGTTTAGGGATTGCCTCTGGTGGTTAAATATGCTCTACTGCTAGGCTAAAGGCTTCCTTAAATGGTTCAAGGTATTGATCTTGATTTAACAATTGGAGGTAGAATTTAAAAATCTGTTAAAACTGTTCATGGAAGTTTTTCCTTCTTTATGCAGTGTTTTTTGTTGGAGAAATGTTAAGTGACCTGGTCATTGAAGAGGTGACCTTTTCCCTTTCGTGTTTGTGTTTTTTTTAATAAGTGTACGCGTGTGCAGTTGAGGAGGGGGGCGAGAAAGTGAAAACAGTTCAGAGTACAAAGGGGGTGAAAAAAGGGAAGTTAATAAGCGACTTTCCACGTTCCTGCTACATCGATCAGTTCCAAGTTACAAACGTAAATGGAAGGGGTGGGGGGTGCTTGTTAATCTGGGTTGCAGTGCGTCACAGGGCTGCCCTGCTCACCTAAAAACCTACTGCAAATAAAGTTGACCCAGCTGCCGATATCACTAGGCTGCCAAGTCTGAGCTTTTTTTACATTACCCTTTTCTTTGGGGTTAGGGTGCCCCTTCTGCAAGGGTCACCTACTGTGAGGCGATTGTGTCCCCAAAAGAGATTTTTATTCCCATCAACCAGTTCCCGTAGAAGTGTTATTTCTTCCGTCCTTGATGGTTTTCCAGTGTTCAAGGCTTCCAAACAACATGGTGAGCTAGCTTATCCTCTGGTACTTATGAGGCCATGGTGTCATGTGAAGGGAGAATTGAGTGAAATTGGGGGATGAAAACATTCTGCTGAGCTAGGTCTTTTTCCAGACCTTTTTATCAAAGCCTGGAAGATGCAGCTTCAGGGGCACAATTCTGTACTTTTGACAGACAGTCAGAGGTGCAGAGAGCCCTTCTGACACTTTTACCCATTTGACCCACTCTGCAGGATGTCACACCTGATGAAAATGTTCGTGATCTTGAACCTGAGTTGCTCTAGTCAAGTTACAAACAGAAGTGCACTTCAGGCAACATTTTTTGGTACTCTATCATGATTTATGGTTCTATGATCACTTATTTTTACAAATGGTATGTAGACATATGCTTGCTATGCTAGGGATTTTGTGGTAATGAAAGGAAGAGAAAAGACCTTATACAAAGACCTTTTCCTAAATAATTCTTATAAGCTTTTTTACTTTACATTTATGCTGTCTACTTTTATGATAAACAATGCAGTGGGTGTTTATTGATGAAGCTTATGTTAAGTGTCACTTAATACCTGACATTTTGAATTCTCATTTCTTGTTTTCATTGCCTGGGGTGCGCTTTTCCTGGGCTGCTCTGTGGAGCGTTACAGACAGTAGAAAGTAACTGATTATAATTCAGATTAGATTGGAAGACAAAGGTTTGTTTATTAGCTTGAGAATGTTCCTGGACTTGTGCGTTGCCTCTGTTTATATTCAGAACTCTGAAGTCTCTCCAGTTTCCCCTCTTTAATAGCTTTAGAAACAAACATACATAACTAGTGGCTTTTCTTTCTCAGGGACTGGAAAAAAAGTTAGAATTACAATCGTGAGTTTAAAAGACCTTTGAATGGTGCTCACCACTATTGTAAAGCCTGGTATTAGCTCAGGTCCCGGTGGACAGCAATTCTCAAAGCATGATTCTTTGTTCTGCAGTTGTACAATCTAGGACTCTATCCTGTAATATTCCTGTATGAAGGTAATGGGGGATATCAATAACAAACACAGCCTGTTATCTCTGAACCACAGAAGTCTTCTGTCTCCTTCCAGTCAAAACATCACTAACCTCAGTACATCTGACAGTCACACAGAAAAATAGGCGTATCTTCAGGCTGTACGTGACCAATAAGTACCAGGCAGACTTTTAGTGCTGTACAAGTCTCTGCCGGCTGTTTAAAAAGGTAAGCCGACCCTACTGAACCTTTTGTGTGAATGTGCGTATTTAGTCTCCACAACTGTGTTTGTTTCGAGGTTAGCGTTTGTTTTGGTCTGAGCAAATCTGTTGGACTTTGGTTCGAGAACTTCCTGTACTCTGACCAGTGCTCTTGTGTTGCTCAATAAAGGTGCAGTAACAGGGCACCTGTGCACATCTGCCTGTGGTTTGAATGAATGCTAACATTTTCCCTGTGCCTGACTGACTGACACTTCGGCAAAGACAACTGCCTGCGCTAAGAAATTAGACCTTGTAGGCTCTTCACTTCTGAAATCTTAAGCTGGTAAGTTCAGATCCAAAAATCAGCCTAATTGTGGGGAAAATTGTTAGTGTCCTATGTAGTGTGTTTTATATTTTGTGATGGGCATGATGTATTCTACCAAAACTAGCTTCTGGGATTAAGTAATAGGTTTATTCCATGCTGAAAAAAAGAAGAAAGAGAACACAACGTTTCGGCCGTGGAGCCTTCTTCAGGTGTGAGAGAGACAGGGCAGTAGGCAAAGGTAAAGAGGGATTAATGCTCCCAGATTAATGTGAAATTTTATCTACAAAAGTTTCCACTTCTTAGATGTGCTCTGTCACTCTCAAAACAATGTTCACATTTGTATTGCAAAATGGTTATTCTCCACCACTACACAGTCTTAACATTCATTTGCTAGTTAATCTGAAATACTTTGGGCTATAATATGACTGTTTCCTACCACCTGTTTATTAGATGAAAAGGGCTCACAGCTCACTTAACATTACATCTTAACTCGAGAAAATGTAGGAATTGGGAGCCAACTGAAAATAAAACGGCTGTTAGGACAAGCATGCTGCTTATTTGTGGGGGGGGAAAGGCTGACTATCAGGTTTAACGTTGGTTCCTTGAGCAACCAAAATATTCCTTTGGTCACAAAGGATATTTTGTGTATGGATCTCTACACCAGACAGCCTGAATGCCCATTCTTGGGCTCAGCTGTGCTCTCGTGACTCGTTTAAGTTCTGTGTCACTAGTCCTCTTATTACAGGTCTACATGAGGATCCGTTTCTGGACAAACGTCCCAATCACTTAAGGCACGGGAACAATGCAGGCTCCCAGGGAGCTCTGGAACATGTTGCAAGCCTTTCTAAAACAGGCTCGCGTGTGCTAAGGGGAATGGATGTCCTGGATAGCAGGTTAGCTGGTGTTTGCAGGAAAACGCTGTGAAGCCTGCAACTAAGAGACGGGGGTTATTTTTCAGCGTGTAAGATCTGCTACGTTAGGCACTGCAGACCGCACATCTCCTTATCTCTGGAAAACGGCCTTTTAGAGAACTTGAGGTTATAAGGTGCATGTTGGGGATAAATGTTTGCATGCTTCACTTAACTAAAGCAAGGCAGCCATTCAGCTGCAACACTGCATTGGATTCCCAAGAAAAGAAATGACTGTTATAGAGCAGGGTTTGTTTGGTATAGTAGGCAATCCCACTGTTCATGTATATTTATATGGTGATGTAATAATACTGCAACCTTGCGTATAATAGTCATCTTTTGGAGACTTGCCTCTATTGCTTGTCAGGTTTAACCTGTTTTGGGGATTTGTTTTCAGCAGCAACAAATGAATGCCTTTAAAATCACTTATTTACTAAAGTTTTATATTGGTATTTTTATAATTCATCTTTTTGATGGACTACCTCTAAAGACTATTTAGAAATATTTCACATGATGTAGAAAAAGTCATCCATGTATGTGAGCCACGGCACTGTCCCTTGTCCTGTAAAGGCTACATCTTTAAAATGTTGTTCTTGAAGTTGAGGGCCGTGTTTAATTCACTTTAAGAACCTGTCCAGAATATTTGTTGTGACGTCTGTTGTATTCCGCTGTTTGTGCCACGTGTTTCTCTTGTAGAGCTGTGTGCTGGACAAGACTACATGTACAGACTCTTCCGGTAACCCTCATGACCTTGCATACAGTCATTCCTCATTTTGAGGACAGGAGTGCTAAAGATCAGGTGTGGCTACATGCCCTGGTGCAATAGGACATGACCAGGTTTCAGCTGGACTCCTATCACTGTCACTTGGAACAACATTGTCCTGTCCTGTGCCTTTTTGATCGCTATGTATTGAATTTGATGAAAAGTTCACATTGTAACTTGGCTTGCACTAGACCGAACAGGCCAGAAGGATCAAAAACATTGCTGTTCAGGCGTTTTCCTGCCTGGTGCCAGATCATTCGTATAGCACAACATGTGGTCGGGTGAAATGGCAACATCCCCTATATACATCGTTATACTTTTTCATTCTCCTGAAGGGCGAGGCTATATCCGAGCTGAGTTTAAAGAGTAACAACAAGGCATTGTTTGAATTTGTGTGGTGTTAATAAAACATTCTGAATGAAGTGCCACTCCTCTAAAGCCCACAGACTTGGCTTTTGCTTCAAGTGCTCACTTTTCACTGCATAATGTACAGGAGGTTTGCTGATGTTAGTTCAGTAAAGCACAAGGTTTTAGAATCAAAGATTAGATGGCATTCTCTATACAGGCCACACACCAATTTCTTAAAGTATAATTGGTTACACCTATAGTGCTTTTCTGGACACTTCACTCAGTGCTTTACAGGCAATGGGGATTCCCTCCCCCGCCAATGTGCAGCATCCCCTTGGATCCCAGGGTATTGACTTCAACAGCACAGGTGGGTGGCCTGTTACACACACCCACAACCTGTGTAAAGTAGCGCCTGCTGTTCTTGACTGCAAATGCAACCCTCCATAATGTTTTTTTTTTGTTCGGGCACTGCATTGACATGAGTTGGTACTGCTTTTCTTGCCGCAATGTTAAGATAACCTTGGTTGTCTAATGTCCACCCTATCCAGTACCAACAGATGCACAACTACGACCCAGGAAATTGCACAGATTGGTTTAGTCTAAACTTCCAAAAATAAAAGCAGTTAAAATGCACAGTCAGATTTGTCACTCATTATAATGCTCCGTGTTAAGAACAGGGACCAGCCAGTGCTCACTGTGCTCTGTTGAGCCTGTGCTCAGTTGTGTGATGTGATTAATTGCCCTCTTTTAACCCTCCCACCAGGGCCTTCACCTTTGCCAAGACGCTAATCTCTCCATGTTGGCGATTTCTTGCACAACCTTCTCAGCATTTTTAAAGGAGATGAAGCTTAAGCTTGAGGAGAACATTTTGATCTAGCAGTGCGAGATCTTAACACCTCTTTTCATTTGGCAGCTTGCATGTTTTTTGAAAACTGATTGGCACCCTCGGACAAAAGCAAATTGAAACAATCACTTCTAGATTAAATTTCCCTTTTCTGCTTGCTACCGATTTTCTAATTTGTGTCCATTTCTATGTCTGGGTCTGAAACAGATGTGTCCTCCACTGTTGTAGAATTACTGATTCACACAGTAAAACTGGCATGTAACTGTAGTAGCAGTGCTCCACCAAGTGTAGGAAAAAAGTGTAACCTGGTGAGTATTGTTTGTCTTGTATGGAATATTCAGTTTAAGTACCACTGAGCAGTGTTACCAGGGAGTAATACTGTAGTCACTTCATTTGTCCTTGAGGGCAAGATCACCTTGGGAAGGACAGGCTTGCCCTGTGGCTTTGTAGGTCATTGGTATGTGTCCTGTACATGTGCTATTTATGGATACGGCAGTTCACAATCCATTATTGTGCTCCTCAAAGGATAGAAACCGATCTGTTGCAAAACTTGCACTTTGCATGAGGCATTATAAAGTTATGGGTTGTAAAGATCAATAAACTTTTTATTCATCTAAATTATTCTTTGCCAGTTCTTATTTTATTGCACATTATTCAATGTGAAACAGTTCTGGCCTGCTTCCAAGTTATTCAGCTGTGTAAATGGGCTTCCTTTAGTAAGGTTGGATGATTAATCGTTGTGGAATTAGTCACGGTAAGTCTATCAAGTCTTCCAGTGTAGGTTTGGAGATCAACCCAATTTCCCTTTCTAGGATGAATGAGGGGATACTCAGTTTGCCTATATAATGCACATTTTTCAGAGGTCAAGGTTTCTGAGTTATAGCTGTGTATTGTTGGGGAGAAGTTTCTGAATTGTATTGAGGTATGCATGATCCTTGGACACGGTCTACCCACAGGGCCAGTTCAAATACTATATTTTTCAGAAAATTAGCATGATTCTGTCAGTGGTTTCATGGAGGGCTTCTCAGATAGTTAGGCATTCAGGTAGATTGCCAGGTGAAAGGATTTGTAAATATATTTTGTTAAAGTTGCTTGAGGCAAAGTGGCAATTGATTATTGTTGATACCCCTTATGTTTTTCACTGCTTATGTATTATTGGTTCTGTAGCCTCAAAGGCACTGACATGCATTTCCGTTAGTGTGCAAACATAACCACATGAGGGCAATTGCATATACTATAGTTTTGTCTGCAATTCACCCCCTAAAGCTTGGATCCAAGTGACACCAGTTCAGATCGGTAACATCACCATACACACAGTAACTTGCAGTACAAAGGCATGTCAGACATTGGAGCCAGGCAATATTGATTTCCTGTGGATCATGCTGGTGCTAAAGCAGGGCAGTTGCTTTTTCCCCCCCGAAAAAGCATGTTTAGTGCAATAGGCATTCATCTGCCTCTTTTGGTCGGCATACTTATCAGATTTAGCTAACCCTTGGTATTCCAGTCCCTACTCTGGAATCGATGTGGTATGGTTACGTTTAGTGGATTTTGCATTTCCAGTTTCTGGTCCAAATGGCAAGTCCTGCAACAAACCAGCATCCTACCAGCATAATGTATTTGATGCACAGTTGCCAAAGACATTGGAGAGAAAACTGCTTTCTGATGCTGGCTAGACAGTCATGTTGTAAGACCATTGGCCCTTGTGTGCTCTCAGAGGGCTTGTTGGAAGTTCTCACCCTTTCACTTGCAGATAAGACTGCTGCTACTGCTTAGTTTAATTAACCCTGACTTCAGGCGCATGTTTAAATGGTTTATTGTTCCTTGACGCTGTCCTGTTTAAAACTGGCTTTTCTCTTGTCGGGATTCCACAATCCAGATGTGAAGAAGAATTTGGAAATGGTTAAGATGAACACAGCAGATTGCTGCCTGGAAACAAGTTAAACCTGGCAGCAAGGCATAAAATAAACATCTGATGTATTTATAAACCTGTAATGAGCATTAGGTATGAGCAACTGAAAGTCATTACATTCAGAACATCTTGATGGTTTCGCAAGTTTCCCTATGTCATTACTGGTAATTAAAGCATAGCTTCATAGCTTTGCTGAGCAGTAAGGAATTGGGGAAATTAGTGAATTATTTACCAGATTACACCAAGAAGAATGTCGTGTAAATGAGGAGATAGAAAACTCCCACAGGCAAGGAATGCTTCTTTCCTGGAAACTCAGACGGACTGATATCCGCAGTTTGGGAGAATAGTCTCACAAGGGATCAAGCACTGATGCGACAGATCAGAACTTTTAAGGCTAACTGTTCAAGTTGTTTTTAAGCTCGGAGCACGTGCATTACCCACAAATAAGAGGACGGAGGAAGCAGTTCAAAGCTCCCTCTGTGAGGCAGAGTAGTTAAACACTGACTGGAATCATCTGGAGTAATGAACCAGCTCCAAGTGTTTACAGTGCCGCTCTGTGCCAGTTCCTTGCTTCACGGTGGTGCGCTTATCTGAACAAGGGTGGTGTACAAGTGAGGGAGTAGTCAAGAGTTTAGCATTCAGACCCTCAGCTGTTTACACGGCGTCTGTGAAAGCATCAAGCCTTGATGTCCAGCGACTCCAGTGCACACCCTGGTTGTTCATTCCGTGTCGGGAAGAGTAAAAATGACTTCTGCAAAAATCAACTTCTAGCAGGTTTTCTGTTGTCTGTATTCTGCTCGCCTGACTAAACCTTACTTTGGACCAACCTTATTGATTCTCTGAACTATTATGGGAGCATAAATATGTAGGTGAAGGTGTGATTTGTCCAGAGTAGTTTGATCAGTTTCAGCGTGCAGGTTAACTTTCAATTTTTGGGATCAATTTGGATAATACCATGTGATCCCATCTTGGAATCTACATTTTCAAGCGTTTTTCCTCAGTTCTATAGTACATCTGAACTTGAAGATGTGAAGTGGTTGCAGCTCCAAGTTTTCTGCCTGTGTAAAGAAAAGATGAGGGACCAGAAGTTATAAAAAGTAAGCGTAAGTTAAGGCATTCTGATTAAGTGATCCGAGATGTAGGGAGCCAGGTTCTACCTGTAGATGAGGGGGAGTTGGAAGTGCTGGTAGAATAGACTTGAACCACTGCAAGAAAGACTTTCAGGGTACTTTTACATTTAGCGTGCTAATGAGTATCTTGAACTATGGCATGGTAGTGGGGCTTAGACATGTTTTCAAGCACAATTGCAGCATGCCTAGCTCCTCAGATAGTCTGCACCTGGAAGATCACGGTACACCACCACCAACAGGCATGCTGTCGTTCATGCAGGTTGAATTGCACGGCTCCACACTATTTAAAACCAGGTTGTTTGGACTGTCCCAGTAAATTTTAAATGAATGCTTTTTTCTAATGCTTGAAAGGCCAGTCCATTTAGGGGAAACATTCTAGTTATGGAAAAGACTAGGGCTCCACTAAAATTCCATTCCTAGTTTTGTAAAATCATTCCATTTGTAGGACCATAGTCTGACCTAAACAACAATGAAAGATTTAAGCTTGTCCAAGTTTAAACAGGAGTTGTTTACATACTTGAGTTTTGCAGCTGTATTTGATAACAGCTGTTTCTCTTCTGCTTTTGGTGTTCACACCCAGCCTTGCCTATGCTGAAATACAAGAGAAGGCTTCTGAGGAAGATCAGAAGAGGTTTAGTGACTAGTATGCTTGAGGAAAGGAACCAGTTAATGAAAGGCAAGATGCATTGCTGCTGCAGTGGTGTCCCTTCTCTGGGGCTCAACACCCTTGAGTTTCTCGTACACCACAGCACTTCAGAAGCTTTTAGAATGAAGCAGTAGAGGAACTTGCAGGAGACAGGAGTAAAACATCTTGAATAAATTGAATTGTTAAAGGAATTATTTTCCTTTCATCTCCCTCACAGACATCACTTGACGTTCCGTTCTGAAGCCTCTGCCAAGCTGAAATGCCACCTGCAATCGGAGGACCCGTGGGGTACACCCCTCCTGAGGGAGGCTGGGGGTGGGCCGTGGTGGCTGGTGCCTTCATCTCCATCGGCTTCTCCTATGCCTTCCCCAAGTCCATCACTGTCTTCTTCAAAGAGATTGAGGTCATCTTCAATGCCACCAGCAGCCAGGTCTCCTGGATCTCTTCCATCATGCTGGCTGTAATGTACGCTGGAGGTAAGATCCCCCAAAACCCTGTTTAGAGACGAGGAAAGCTCTAAACAAAATACCTGGAGCTGTGTGGTAGTGTGTAGGGCGGTGGTTCTTGAATTTTTCTGCAGCCTGCACCCATTGGGTTCTTGATGTGTTCACACCCCTTGTCAAAGAGGGCAGTCATAACTGGCTCATAACATAACTACAGAACGAAAATTATACTATCAATTTACCTAGTTTTGATAAATCAAGTGATTTGTCCTTGCATGGTTGTGCTTAATTTACCTGCTAAAATCTGGCATGTATCACACCTAGGAGATGTGCGCCCCGGGTTACAAAACACTGGTGTGGAGTACATTGCCAAGTTACATTTGTTTAGCCCTTGTTACATCATAAGGGAAGAAAAGTCTTTTTTTTTTTCTTAGTGGGACATTGCTAGCACTGGGTTGGGCATCTTCTGTCAACAATCTGATGCCCTTTGATGCTGCTAGAGGGATGTCCTCAACTTCTCTCTAGCCATGGCAAGAGCTTTTGAGACCCCAGCACAATAGCACATCACCTACTTTGCTTTCAAAACGAGGCACCACAAACCTATCCATTTAATTTAATTACATTGGAAGTAAGCCTGTTCTCATGGTTGAAGGCCGAACTCATTCTGTATTCCCTCCTTCTCCTGGGTGTTTTTATTGCCTCTAATTCTTAAAAGGCCCATGAAGCTGGACTCCAGCGAATGTCCACAGTTCCAACTGCAGAGCCCAAGTTCTTATCCACAAGATTCCCTGCTGCATGAGACAGCCCCATCTTGTTCAACTGGAAGCTCAATTCATTTCTTGCTAAATGTAGACTTCCTTATGACATCGCAATTGTTTTTCCTTGTTTCTTTATTTAGAAAAGCTGTAACTGTAGGGGTTTGCTTTCCTGGGTGGTGACGGCATCACAATTCACAAGAATCTGGGCTTTGATTCTGGTTTTCAGTTTTTGGCATGTCATACTGTACTAGAGATCAGGAAATGTTTTGACATTAAATCGTGTGTGTGTGTGTGGGGTAACAATTAATGAACTGCATCAACAAGTGTTTGCTAGGTTTCCTGGCTGAATTCCATTCTGCGCTTTGTCCTCCCTAAAGGTCCCTGTTAATTCAATCTGTGAAGGAATTTCTCCTTTGGGCATGAGTAGTAGTATCCGAATGCAAAATATCCTTTAATGCTCAAGATCTGCCACTAAGAGCTTGGTTTTATGTCCAATCAGTAGTCAAAGGATGGTTGTGCGTTGGTGACGGAGCTGGAGTTTAGAACTGAAACGCCTGCCAGCAAAACTTTTCTCTAGCTAACCACTACCTCACTCCACCTCTTAAAAAAGGAGGACTCAAATACTAGCTTCTATGCACAGGAGATTTTAACTGCAGTTATCCAGCATCCTGAACACAGGCTTGGACTGACACCCCTGATTGATCAGCCTGGCAAATAACCAGTTTCCTGATATCATCCTACAACTGCAGCAGATCACATTCCTTGATTTTGATCCTCCCATATGATCCCATCTTTTCTGCAGAATAGCATTACAACATGGATTCGGGGGCAGGTGGGGTGTGTTTATGACCAATTGGCCTCAAAATATGCATGAAGTTAGCAAAGCGGATTGGATTAAGTTCCCTGGCAAAGCTGCATTTTCCGGCTAAAGCAATACTAGATTAATCGGCAAATAAAGAAAAGAGCTTGGGGAAAAAATATGCTTACTGTGGTTAGGGTTTGAGTCCCAGGTGAGGCTATTGTGCCCTGAGCAGGGTAATTCACCTGAATAATTGCTCGAGTAAAACTCACAGCAGATGTGAGTTTTTACATGAAAATATCAGCCTAATCAAGTGTATTTCTCTGGAAGCATACTGCTTTAGAGTAGTAGTTCCATGTTTTGTGCAGTACTACGCTGATATACTTAAAACTTAAAGAACAATTTCTCTACTGTATGACCAGGCATTTTAGAGGTATACAGAACTTCAGTTATACTCATTAAATGTACTTTTCATTCTGTCTTTCTAGTGGCACCTAACAGGCTTATACACAGGAGTAAGTGTTTCCAGGAATGAATTTACTTCTTTGTTCAAGATCTGCTAACTGAATTCTGTTGGAAGAAGCTCAGACATGAAGTTCCACCAGTCTATTTTAACAGTGGTTAGGAAAGCAGAGGTATGTTTAGGGACTGTGCTTTAACTGTCCTGCTAGAATAAACATCTTATTTCCTAAAAGCCCCTATTGTGGATTTGTAATCCAGTGAAGATGCCTCCATATAAATGCCTTTTCCCTACTCATGCAAGCTGAAAAAGATGACTCATGGTTTCTTGTAAAACATGCTTTCTGTTCTAATGAAGCACTGAGATGGGCGAGGTTAACATTTTGCCAGGGTCACGTGACCAACACGGAAGATTTGGACCGCAAACCTCGCGGGCGTCACATGCCCACACACGCATTCTTTTCTCAACGGCGACAGGGAACTGCGCACGTAGTGAAGAGCCCAGCCTGAGAGAGGACAGCACAATCGACAATGGGACTGCTCTTCCCTGCCTGGGTTTAATCAGGGTTGCTGCACAATCAGAGCACTGCCCTGGATCAAATGCCTCACTAGAGAAAGAACAAAGAGCTTTCAGATGAATGGTCTGAGAAAAGGTTTGGGTCCCAGAGGGCTCTTTTGCACACAGTAACAAATTGTGATGCCACAGGCCTAAACGGTTCTCACCCTGCCCAATCACTCCATTCAGAGCTCAACATGTAGGCACCAGTGTAATACAGGTTGGCCAGGTAATGTTCATAGGTTTTGGATCTTAGAAGGAGTTTGATGGAAAGAGGGATTGCAGTTGGCATTTTTAAGTTTTTAAAAAGTAAAAACTACTGAAAATTGTTGGTTTGCTCTTATTCTGATTTATTTTGTTTAGAGCACAAGCTAGACTTGTTCTTATGTACCCATCACCCAGGTATCCCATCTAAGATGGACCATAAAATAGGTCTTAGAGTAGTTGTACATATTTTCTTAGCTGTATAAGAGTGAAAGTTGAGTGTATAGGGATATGGGCACTCGGGCAAGAGAACCCTCCAGTGATTCCTGCCCCCTGTGATGATTGAATTATTCAATAGTCATCGTGCTGCCTGTGGTCTTCTGTAATTGGTATAATTAGTCCATCTGACAGATGCTGACCTATCTCGCATTTCTCACAACCAAGCAGACTGTAATTTGAAAATATCTTCCAAATTTTGGTGAGTGGTTGCTGGCAAGCACCATATTCAAAAGGTTGTACATGGTTTATTGGTGCATAACATTTCATTTTTGTGCCAGCTCTGAAGCAACCAAGTAAACCAACACAAGGTGCTCAGTCTGTCCTTCCTGGCCTTTCCACTGAGTAAAGCCCTTTCAATCTTTATTCCTGTCTGTCCTGCCCTGGAATTCCATGGAGTGCCAGGTCAAGTAAAGATCGCAAAGATGGGGAAAACTGTTCTTGAACAGGTATGTGATGTTCAGAACTGTGTAAGCAGACTAGCTGTTTTTCAGCTCCGCATCCTGGAGTTTGCTTCCTGCCTGGCAGAATGGAAAAAGAACGGGCTTTCTGGGCATGATGTAATATTACATCTTTATATGAATCGCACAACATTCCTGTAGCTGTGCCCCCCGTCTTTCTACCTGTCCTAACCCAGGCTTCGTCTGTGAAGCCAGACTCTGACACAGCCTGTTTACTCTGTAAATGCATTACGCACAGTCTGAACATCTGATGGGCAGTAATGGCTGGTGCCATGTATAAGCCGACTCTGTAGAATGTGCGGTCTGGATAGTTTTCTAGGAGACTGATTAGTGTGAATTGTATACTAGTTGCTTTGTGTTCTGTTAAACCTCAGACCAGGTGCTGTGGCAGGGCTTATGCGAGGCCTACTGCATCCTGTTTGGATCTAGTGTCTACAGATCCTGAATTAAAATATGTGCTTTTTGTTGGAAAGAGGGGTACTTTGGTTTCCAAAAGAGACTGCTAAATTCCCTCCATATTCCCTTTCCCCCTGAAGACCACTCTGGGTCTTTTGTCATCTGAGATTAGTGAATTGTTCCCCTTAGCTGGCTTTGCTTTAAACAGTGTAAGATGTTGAAAAGTGCAAATTAGGTTTTGGATGGACTGAACTGTGGTCTAGACTGTGTGCAGAAGTGAGGTTGTTTAAAACAGGATGTGAATTGACTGGTAGCAATTGTTCACTTGCCTCTTTCATGTTTTGGCTGTGCACCCAAGGCCGTGCAGCCTGCTTCATTGTGGAAGACTGTCTTCCTCTGACCTGGCCTGCTTGTTAGCTTCTTCCTTTTTTCACAGGCAAGGGAAACTGCTCATTTTATCTCTTGTACATATCCGTTTGTTTCTCTTAATAAACAACTTTTGATTCCTTCAGGCCTGTCAAGGAAGGTTGTGTAACTTCAGTTCAGTAGAAGGTCAGTCATGTTTGCTGGTTTCGTGCTGTTCTGAATGTGACAGGGACAGTTCTATGGCACATGGCTCTCTGTACAATCTCAGGGTGGCCTTGCTGTTGAAAGCAGAGGCCGTGAACCGGCCTGTTTGGCCACTGACTGGATTACTGCTGTGGTGCCAAGGTCTGACCTGAATGGCCCGGTGTTTTGAGACTCAAAGCCCTTTACAGGTAATGGGGACTCCCCTCCCACCACCACCAGTGTGCAGCCCTACCTGGATGGTAGCCATAGTACACCTGTACACTGATCACACAGACTATACCAGCTATCAGGAGGAGAACCATAATGAAGCCAACTCGTAGAGGGGGATTATTAGGAGGCCATGATTGGTAAAGGTTATACCCCTACTTTTTTTGAGAAATGCCTTAGGATTTTTAATGACCACAGAGACATGAAACTGAGGTCCTGACCCATCTGAAGGATGGCACCTTTTTATGGTAGTTGTCCCTGCCGCTACTGGGGCATTAGAAAGAACACAGACTGCAGTGTGAGCGCCCCCTGCTGGCCCTACTTACCTTTAGCAGCAACCTTGGTTTTCCCAGGAGGTCTCCCATCCAGGGACTGACCAGGCTCTCACCTGCTGAGCTTCAGTGGACTGCCAGTTGTGAGCTGCAGGGTGATATGGCTGCTGGATTTATGGTGCAAACTTAAATAGCTCTTGAAGGTCTGGTTACCAAAGTAATGATTAGTTAGAGTTTCACCAAAATTAACAAAACTGTAATGCAAGGTTACTGCATGGCTTTCCAAGGACAAGACTTTCGGTTTTCTAGCTTGTTTGGTTTATAGGCTCTAACTGGTCAGTCTCTTCCAGCTCTTCTCCTACAACAAGACCATTGAGTTGGCTGTCACTGTAGGCCTTTTGTGGATTAAGAATTCAGTATCCTTATTTTTCATAGAGCAACATTGGCGGTCAAGCACACACTGAATAGAAATGACTAAAGGGAACCCCAATTAAACATTCCTTGGAGCCTAACAGCGCTTACATGGGTAATTTCTTTTGTGGGCAAAAGGTTTAAGTTTATCAATGTGACTTAGGGTTGCAATACTGCAAGGGAGGGGCCGACATGTTTCAGAATGAGCGTGGAGTTTGTTGCTGCAGCACTGGAACAGACTAGGAACTACAGGTGTGGTTTATGAAGAGGTGGTAGTGAGAGATGGCACTACATACTGACAAGCTCACCAGCTGAAGGGTTGTGGTGTTTCACTGGAGCTGGAGGAGCTCTCCATTCTGCCAGTATGAGCTTCCCTACCCCCTTTCCTGTGCGGATAAGAGAATTAAACCTGCCTCCACTCTTCCTAAATTAAGGAAGATGTATTATCAGAAACTGGACAGGCTTCCTGTTTGCTCTGTCTCTAGCAGTGCAAGTAGAGAGAGGAGCCACAGAACAGCTGAGAGAAGGCCTTCGTGTGTAGTCTACAGAGCCTGAGACACTAGGTCACTATGAGCTTCTCTGTCCATTCTCTAGCTCTTTGCCTTCACAGCAGGCGGGTGGCTAGGGCCTCTCGGAGCCCCCAGGCCCTTCGTTTTAATGGTTGAACAGCGATCTCCAAAACCTCTACTTAGGCATCGCCTAATTAAGCTAAAATACCCTGAAATCGCTCAGGGGAGAGGTAGCACAAGTAGCCTTGCATTAAGCTCATTAACATCAATTAGGCTCTACAGTTCCTCATTAGCTTTGTGTTGGCTTGTGCCCAGGCATTTTTTCCACCTCCTTTTCTCTAGCTGCATGATAGAAGCGAACAGTTTGCTCAGTGTAGTAATGCTGGGACGTGCCGACACACACGGCCTCCTTGTCACCCTGCTCAAATCTAGCTGAACTTGTTTAACCATTGGGATTCTGGAAGAGCAGAGGGCGGACCTGTTTTGGGAAACTTGAATGTCAGTTGCCATTTCCAATGGAGAATAATTTTTGGTAGACCTGCAAGCTTGCAGGCAGCTGGTGCACTGTAGTGGACACTAAGATATAGATATCCATGAGAATGGCAGCTCCGAGCTGGTTATGCAAAACCCCTTGGGTATTCTGAGTGATGACAGGACCTCTGCACAGATGTCTTTGGCTCTTGAGCCACTTAATGACTCTCCTCAGTTTTGTTATTGCAGTGAAATATTTGTATCTTACCCATGGTACTAGTTAAAGCTTTTTGAGGTTAGTGTCTGTATTGAAAGCCCCAGTTTTGTGGAGGTAAAGTAGTATTCCAGGCTGTATTCTGATACTAGATGAAGTTTCCCTGTACTCTCGGCTTTCACCTGATTGCTTGACCAGGTTTGTGGAAGGTCTAAAAGGAAGCAGTCATTCAGATTACTGCTTTGGTGTTTTGTATATTTTCTGCCTACCTGTAGAAAACTAAATGAGCGTCGGGTGGGAAAACCCAGGCTCTGAGGTGCTTCTGCCGTGGTTTTGTAGTCTTATAACGCTCATCATGGCATAAGGGGGGAGCAGCCGAGTGGCTGGACGTGTAGGTCCACTTGTCCCAGGGGTGGATCGTGGCTTTTACAGGGATGCAGCTCCTGCCTTTTACTTTGCCTGGTTGCTCTTTCTGGTGACCTTTCCCACTGAACAGACCAGTTTTTCCTCAGTCCCTCTATAAAAGTGCTATTTCACTTTAAAACCTACACCCCCTCCCAGCTAAATAAATTATCCCACTTTAGTGAATCTGCTTAGACTACAGGATCATAATTATGAGAAATGGAGGACCAGACAGAAGTATTCAACCCCTTTAGTGGAATAAGCAACCAGTAAATTAATGAACACCATAAACTACATTTCTCTCTTATTTACACTCTTCAGCAGAAGGAAAGATTATAGTGGTATTGACAAATTTCAAGCAGGTACAGTAATACTTTGTAAAATGTAAACTCAGCTGAAACAGATCTTTTGTCTCCAGTGCCGTCATATTGCACACTGGGCTGTGAAGATCTGAAATGCTTGCAGCAGGGAAGGGGAGGAGGTTCTTGTATAAAAGAGGTTCTAAGCACTAAACATTTTTATATTAGAAGCATACTTTTTCTGTACTCGTGCCTTACTGGCCTTACTTTGGGGGGGGAGAGATCTGTTACGCTACTTGAACATTTGAACTGTGCTGTGAAGTGCTATTTGAGGCACTCACAATAAGACGGTAGTGTATTTTCTCCATCTTTTAATGCCCTAAAATTTGCTAATTAACACTTGTTCTGCCATTCTCTTTTCTAATGACAACGGGCTGTTAGATTTTCCATGCTTGGTTGCTTACTTGATGGATGGGAGATATGAGCTGATCACCATGTGTATGCCTGCGGAGACCCAAGAAGTCTAAACAGCTTTGCTGCCCCCTAGCTGTGGTCTGAATTATGCAGACTTTTGCATTTCTGATCCTTTGCTGCTGAGTTCTCTAAACTTTGATTGCCAACTGTCAGTTAAACTGACGGGCCACACCTAATAGGTGTATTGACAATAAGATGATAATAAGGTAGGAGAGGTACCCTAAGGTGGACATTGTGAAATATTTTCTGCTGTAATGCTCAAAAGCACTACTTACCTCCTTCTACACTATCAAGTTGTACATTCACAAGGGGAAATGGTGTTAATCTGCTAGCTTTGATGTTTTCTCTAAGCAGTCCTGTAAGGTAAGCCCCCAGGAATGGCATCTATAACATCATGAGGAGCAGCAGGTATGTTCAGCTATATGTTCGGGTGAAAAGGTAGAAAGACAAAGTGAATCTGAAGTTTAATTTCCATAATAAAATGGAAGCCAGTAGAACTTCGTTAAAAGACAAGTTTCCGATCTTTGCCTGGAAACGTAACCAAGTTCACAGGGCCAAGACGTGAGCCCTGTTGGAGTCGGAAGTGAAGCGTGCCCGTGTCTCCTGTCAGCTGGCTCAGTTTCTCTGTCCCCCTGCCCCCAGGTCCCATCAGCAGTATCCTGGTGAACAAGTATGGCAGCCGTCCCATCATGATCGCTGGTGGCTGCCTGTCGGGCTGTGGGCTGGTGGCGGCCTCCTTCTGCAACACCGTGGGGCAGCTCTATTTCTGCGTGGGAGTGGTGGGAGGTAAGCACCTGCAGTGACCGCCCCTGGGGGTTTTAGCTGAGGAGTGCTAGACCTCTGGAGCATGACTTGAGCACCAGGACCAAGGCAATCAGGCAGGGTTGGGGAGGGTCAGTACCCGAATCAGTTTCCTGTTTTGCTTCATGAAATTGACCTTGGGATTTGTTTTTGAATCACATTGGGTTTTTTTCTTTTGTCAACTTTCAAGAGCAGCTGAGCCCTGTTGGGGGAAAATTTAAGCAGATGCACGTTTTCTTATAAATAGTGTTATGATGTACTGGCACAAGAATGAGGTTTTCCTGGAGCTCATCCATGCTGTTAATTAGGCTTGTCCATATTTAATGCATCTCTGCACTTCCTGTCTTCTAAAAAGGAAGTTTTCACATTTCTAAGTGAATGACGGCCTATAGTCTGAATAAATCAGAAAAGGACAAGTAGAGCAAAAATCGGCTGTGACCTGATCCATGAACAGCTGGATATGATCCTTGTGTCAGTTAGATACTTGCAATCAAGCAAGCCTAGGTAAGCTTAAATTCTTATTCTGGTGTCAGATTTCGTCTAAAGCGACATCCTCCATTACAGATGTCGCTTACAGAGAAGTTATTGACCTAGCCCATGCCCTTGTACTTTTTCACCCTCCGCTCAGTCCCATTTTGCATTAATTCTTACTCTTGGCTAGAACATAACTTTGCTGGCGATTCAAAATGCATGATTTTTCACAATGTCAGTTTTCTAATTTAGGACAGATTTAAGTTAGGATCATAAGTCCATTGTTAGACTTTTGAAATGTTGCCAATAAGTTCAAATCTGTGACTGGAAAAGAGAGGTCAATACAGGGCCACTAGAATCAATTATTTTTTCCTTTAAAAACAGCAGCTGTTTTATCCAAATGCAAGGTTTAAAAAACATATTTCAAAGGCTGCAAAAGTTCCTAATCTTTTTTTGTTCTACTTCTAGGTTTGGGATTGGCCTTCAACCTCAACCCTGCCCTGACCATGATTGGCAAATATTTCTACAAGAAACGCCCTATTGCCAACGGCATTGCTATGGCTGGCAGCCCGGTCTTCCTGTCCACTCTGGCCCCTCTCAACAGCTGGTTCTTTGACCATTTTGGCTGGAGAGGCAGCTTCCTGATCCTGGGCGGCTTGCTGCTCAACTGCTGTGTGGCTGGGTCCCTCATGAGGCCAATCGGGCCCAAGCCACAGGTCGCCAAGAAGGTGCCCAGCGATGCCCTGCAGGAAACTGGGAAGGCAGGCGATGCAGGAGTCGCCACTGACCTCCTGGCGGGCAAGCCCAAGGAGAAGAAAACGGTCTGGCAGAAGGTCAACACCTTCATTGACCTCAGCCTGTTCACACACCGGGGCTTCCTGCTGTACCTGCTGGGCAATGTTGTCATGTTTTTCGGCCTCTTCTCTCCTCTGGTCTTCCTCAGCAACTACGCCAAGAGCAAGGACATTGCCAAGGAGAAGGCCGCCTTCCTGCTCTCCATCCTGGCCTTTGTGGACATGGTGGCCCGGCCCTCCATGGGTTTCGTGGCCAGCACCAAGTGGGTGAGGCCCAGGATCCAGTACTTCTTTGCAGCTTCCATCCTGTACAACGGGGTGTGCCATATGCTGGCCCCCCAGTCTGAAGGCTACACTGGCTTTGTCATCTACTCCATCTTCTTTGGGTTCGCCTTCGGCTGGCTGAGCTCCGTCCTGTTCGAGACGCTGATGGACCTGGTCGGGGCGCAGCGGTTCTCCAGCGCTGTGGGCCTGGTGACAATTGTGGAGTGCGGCCCTGTGTTGCTGGGGCCTCCTCTGCTGGGTGAGTGGGGGTTTTGTAACTGCAGTGATTAGGAATTCAGATTCACCCAGGTCTCGGGTATCAAACCTTAAAGACTTAGTAGCAATTTTGTTTTTGCTTAAGCTATTAGTAGTTAATTAGTAGCTTAAGCTATTGTTTCTCAGGTGAAGGTTAGATATCTGGGGGAGGGTTCAAATCTCTTACAGTTGATTATTCAAATGTACTTCATAAAAGCAGTGTTTTCTGGATAATAGTGTTTGGGAATGCAGTGATAAACAGTACAGCAGATGTTATGGTAAAAGTCAGTATTTGGAGTTGAAGACTTGATATTTTTAATGTGGGGGCAAGTGTTGTACAAATTCTTTACCTTCCAGTAATCTGAATTTAAATGACTGAAGTCAGCAGTGACCCAGTACCCCGGGACATTAAGCTCGTTGGACCCAGCCTCTCAACTTTCAAATTTGCAAACATTAAATGTCTTCAGAATTGCAAGGAGCAGCAGTCTGGCTCTTGCTTTGTTCTGCTGCCGCTGTCAGATGAAGTGGATTTGGCCTTCTTGGCAGTCTGTTCAGTGTGCAGCATGCTGAGAAGTGGTAGATTACTGCAAGTGATTTCAGATGCCTTTTTTTAGTCCTCTTAATTCCAAGCCACATTGTCACAGCAAACCTCAAGATTTGTTAATTTCTAGATCAGAACATTTAATCTGAGTAACTGTAAACTTCAGCTAAGGAAGAGACTTTGCTTCTGTTACTTTCCGATGGTTTGTTTCCCTTTCATTGTTTTGAGACTGGTTAGGCAGATTAATAAGATGTGATTAATTATTGACCTTCTAAACCCCCTCCCCCCTTGATCTCAACAGGCAGTTTGAACGACATTTACCACGACTACAAGTACACCTACTATGGCTGTGGCATCATCATGATCATCGGTAGCATCTTCCTCTCTGTGGGGATGGGCATTAACTACAGGCTCCTGGAGAAGGAGCAGAAGGCCGAGGAGCGCAGGGAAAAACAGGAGGCCAGGGAGGAGGACACGAACATTGACGGAGCCATCATGGAGAAGGAGGCCAGCAATGACGCGACCCCGCAGAAAGCGGATGAGGAGTTGAAAGCAGCAGAGGAGAAGGTGTAATGCCCTGTTTTGGGGACTGGGGTGTGGGGAACCAGCCCCTTAGTCTTCCATTGGTATCCGTCCTGAGCTGAAAACGTGTATCTAGTGCCTTTTTTAAAAAACAAAGTATTCCACTTGGTCCAGGTGCCAGCAGTATTTATAAAGCAAATATTCTAGTTCCTGTCAACCCTGGAAGTACTGTAAATGATTCCCCTCTGCTCCTGTTTCATCAGTTTGGAAAAATCCTTCTGGAGAAGGTTTTTATAAATACTGCTGCAAGCTTAGACTGAGTTGTTGCAAACCATATGGGTATGTTGATAGTTGTGCTTTAAAAATCTCAATGGCTGCATTCCACATGTATCAGGTCTATTGAGATGGAGAGCAAAAAAAATAGCGATCACTGTGATATTGGGTAGCACAGGTTGTAGATGGTCCCTTCTTTGACAGGAACACTTCCATGTTGACGCCATTTTGGTATGCTGGTGACTTTAGTGCAATGCTAGTTTTTAAGAATCTTGTCCGGATTGAACTTCGCACATTTTGTATTGTGCCTCTTTTGAGCTGTCCTGCATTTCCGTACAAATGAGCACATGTCAAAGGGTTTGAACACCGCAAGTCAGAAGACTGACCTTTCCATGGTAAATTCCAGCCTTGATGCTTTAATGCTGGGCAAAAGCAAGGAATGTGCCATCAGAGTGCTGGGATTGAAATTTGCATGTCACAGATTTGATTAAGTTTGGGTCAGTGTTCCTGTTCTTGCGTGTATGTAGGTTTGGAGATTGTGTATGGTGACTTCAGGTTGAAACCCACCTTCTCGGGAGATGAAACATTTCTGTGGAGCTCTTGGATTCCTGAGATAACCACAAAGTGTGTGTGTGTATATATATATAAGGTGATCCTATTAAGATGCCTATTGCTCCACTGTTTGCCTTACCAAGACCTCTTTAGCCTTCCTAAGGTTTTTTTAATTGCAATCACAAATTCGGTAATAGTACACCCCTGGCTATTTTGGTCTACAGTCTTCCACAGTGCCTCTTGGGTGGAAGTTGGTATCCATCAGCATCAAAAGTCCTTTGTTAATTTCCTTCACCACCTCTTCCACTCACCAGTGTAATTCTGAATCCGGGATCATTCCTCAGATATGGCTCTGGCCCTCTGTTTCTATGCATCTATCAGGAAGGGACTAAACCTAAACGTCTGTGCAGTATGAAGACTTTTTAATGTTTTTATTCATTGATGTACAATAAATTGCTTTTTATGTAGATTTTTTTGAACTGATAAGGTTGATACCAGCTATGATACCTGTTAAGCACCAGCATAGTGATTGACATTTGTCTTGTCATACAGTTTATGCAACAGAAGCCAATTGCTGACCCCTCCTTTGTCAGGAAATATCTGGCTTAGTGGTACACTAATGGCATTCCGTAGACGGACAGTGTGAAACTTTTTGATTTTATTTGAACACTGTGCCTTGATGCCTGGAAGCAGGGAGTTTAGTGAATACTAAAACATGAAAGTGTTAACCATGTGTTCTTAGCAGTGCTATAGGTTAGACATCTTGAAAACTAATTTACGTGAATTCTAAGCTTTTGTGTGTAGACTGATCATCTAAGGGTCAGTCTCCTGGGTTTGTACATCTGCCTCTAGTTCCCGGACAAGCTTCGTGGACAACAAAAGGGGGGAGTGTTGTGGGAGGGCAAGATGTCAAAACCCCGGGAGTGGTTTACTGGTCTGTCCCTCATTCCAAATTGTGTGAAGCACAAGGAATCGGATATGGAAAGGCTTCTGTTCAAAGTCTGGGCCTACCTAGATTTAGTCTGAATCCTAATGTATTGCTTCAGGCTGGGCAGTGTGCAGTTAGCCAAGAGATGCCAGTATTGTCATTGTCAGATGTTTTTGTCCCTCTGCCTGTGCTCCATTTACACTCCAAGCTGGGGGCAAATTGTGCTAATATAAGGGGTGTAATGGTAATCCAAGCTGACTAATGACAAGCAATTCCATCTTGGACTCTAAAGCTAGAATTGGAAATGCATTAAATTGAATAAGTCAATGTAAAAGTATTTAGGTAGCAGATAGTCAAATTGTGTACTCACGCTTGGGGGGGGGGGGGTTGCTAAAGGGAATTTAAATCACCTCCTGGATCCAATCAAAGACTGGATTTAGTCTTTTTGGTGTGTCAAGCAGCCATTTACTGTGGGAATAGTAACTGGCCAGAAATGCCATGCACTAATGTTTTCAATGTAGACTGCAAGTTACGTTTCACAGCATATCAGACTTGGCAGGATAATTGAACTGTCTGGCAGATTCAGTATATAAATTTTGACAGGAACTATAAATTTAGCAGATGTCCTCTGTGTGTAGTAACATTTCTTAAAATCCATCCAGCTAAGTCTACAACTGAAAAATTCACTTCATAGTATTGCAATCTTTACAGTTTTTACAAAGATGCTTGGTATTGTTAGCATAATATCAGGCTTTGTAGTATGTGCACGATTAATTCAAAAGTAAGGTACCTCTTTTGGATTAGACAAGATTCTTCAGGAGCATTTTATAGGACCATGGATTATCCTATAATCCCGTTTCACAGGCTGAGAGACCTTTAGGGTTTTGTTCATCACTTGCTGTCCATTTATGCCGTCAGATTAATTGATTTTTGCTTAATTTTTCTACAGGCCAATAGTCCTCTTAAATACCCAAGAGGGACCATAAAAGAGCATCAGGCTTCTCATTCCCTGTTATGAAATGATCCGTTCTTAGAATCTGTAGAAAGACATCTTGTTGTTGAGGAATGATTGTGATTGCTGGAAAGCCCTGCATGTTTAGATTATAAGTTTCCCGGGGAGGTTTGGAAACAGATGGCCTCATCCCTGTCCTACAGACAATGTCCCCATTGTCCCAGTTTGCACTGTGCCTGTACATTTGCTGATCTTTTCCATTGTGCACTGTTGAAGTAGTTTGTTGTGCCTACATTCATATCCTCTAATAACTGACAGCACAGGTCTGTGGGTTCGTGCTTCCTCTGGCCATGTTGGCGAAACATTGAACTTGGACTTCAGCCTGCTCACTTCAGCCTTTGACTAAATCATTGGCATCACGGGTCTAATGAGGACACCAGCAGAGATGAATTTATAAAACCTTCATTGCTGCATGTGTCCACATTCATCGCCTGAGCAGGCAGCCACCAGAGCCTGCATCTTTCTTGATCTTCAGTGACTGGTGATGGGGTTGGGTTAAAATGAGCTGTGAATAGAACTGACCTTATTTGAATGAGTGGTGTTGAACCACATCCTAAAACTTGCCTTTACCATAGGTGAAATGGCTGAAATGAGAGGGTGGACACAAAGAAGGCTGGTCAATGCCGAGTTGGCACCTTCTGTATATTCAGGAATTTCTCTTGTCTTCCACCTTTGATTGTAGTTGAAGAGAAATGCATTGAGTGGCTAGGAAGGAATATTTAATCTCCATATTAAAACCGCTGAGCTTGTGGAAATATTAGGTTTTGGAATGGTGACTGAATTTTTTTTTTGTGAAAGATGGGTGCCATGTATGATGTTACACATGCTGGGTGATAATTGTCAAGGCAAAGGATCATTTTTGACAAAAGCTACCATTTACTCCAGGAATAGGTCTCGTCATTCCCAATGGGCCAAAGTTCCAGTTTTTTAGTGTTTTTATCTGCAAGAAAATCATAGCAACGAACCTTTTTATATTGTACATTTGAGATCGAAGTTTTTATGTAATGGAAATTGGTCGTCTTAGTTTTTGTATAGAACCTTTAGAATTCGAAATATGCAGTGTTACTTTTTCACTTTTCTGTTTCCTGAATTTTAGTCAGGAAATGGTTCATTCATGGCAATTAGTGTCCTGGCCATCAAAACAATATGCTGCAATTAAATATTCTAGGGATCAAATGTGGAGGGAAAGCAGGTATTTTACTTTTTTAGGATTACATCTCATCTCTACATTCTTGTTCTTTCATTTGAAATCGGGGTATTAAATTATAATAGCAGCATTCCTTTGTGGTCACAAAGCCCTAGTGTTTGGAACGGAACGCCAGAGATGTGCCACTTCCTCTGGGGTGTGGAGGTTTTCTGAATGGCAGCGGTCTCTCCCTGCAGAGCAGCTGTCAGATCTGTAGCGCCCAGCTAAACGAATGACAATGATCTGTGGATGTTTGTATGTTATTGTATCTGAGGTATTATGGTATCAAGAAGTTTTTTTTTTGAATGAATAAAAAGTTTAAAAAACTGATTTTTGTCCTTTTTTTGCCTTTATGAAAATTCCCAACCTTTCCTTTTCCGTCTATGAAAAGTCTCTTCTGCAGATGAGCAAATTGCAAGACTTTTTAGCAGCAGTTAGCTTTGAAAAGTGCTTTTTTACCAGGGTAAGGTTTATAAACACAGCTCACCCATTTGTTCTGGCTGTTTTTTTTTACCTTAAGCACAGCTCAGTGGCTCATTTCAGTTATCACCTTTGGTGCCTTGAAGGGACCTAAGGTTGTAGCCATATGGCTCTTTCCAGGCAATGCAGCAGGTTATTTCCTGAACTGACGAGTCCTTTATAGAACATTTTAAAGGCCCTGACCCTCTGTGCTTTACAGTATTAATGCCCTCAACCCACAAGATCAACACTTGCTGACCAAGGAGCAGAAGTGGAAATATAAGACTGGGGCAACTTGAGACTGAAATTGAAAGGCTGCAGTAGAGATGTTCGTGTATATGTATGATCAAAACTCTCCAGCCATGTTTTCTGTTATGGGCTGAAAAGCACCTTTGAAAGCGGTTAGCTGTTGAATGGAGCATGATGGGGGTTGCAGCACCAGCCGGTGTGAAAAGGAAGCATCCAGAGGTAAGAGGCCACTGGCTTTTAAACTGCCTGGAAACTTCAAGTTGAAAACCAGCCTCTATTCCACATGAAGGGAATGAGTGTGTAACCCCCACCCAGAGACTCGAGAGTTTTCCAGTATCCTCAGATAGGAAAACATTTAATACATTTGCTGTTTGGCATGGTCTCCACAGGAAGAGCAACACCATAGTGGTGGAACAAACTTGAAAATGGCAGTAAAACGGTAACATTAAAGTCAAACATTCCTGATTTTTGGTTAGTAGAAACACCCAGTTTTAGAACTTCTATGGATCACATTAGTACTACATTTTTCCTGTTCGTTTTGATTTTCAGTACCATGAAAAGTACACTTTACTGCAACAGATTACTGCTGTGTCATCTCATCTACTTGGCTTTGTGTTTGGGGTATTTTTAAGGATGAGGAGCCATCTTTTGGTGCTAAATCTTAATAACCCTGATAGTTTAAACAAGCCATACTTGGCATGCTGTGGTAGAACCATCAGTTTAAGGTGATTTGTACAAGTCACCCTAATCAGGTTGTCCACGAGCGTTTCCTAGGCACTCCTTTTTATAGGGAGGTGAAAAGATCATGTGGGGAGTGTTTGAGTAGTAGCTGGATGTCAGAAGTCTCACTGACAGAAAATGGAAATCACTGTCAATGTAATGCACTCAGATGCAGGGCTCTAGGCTGGTGCCCATGACCGCTGCATATTTTGAAAATGAAACACCTCTAATTATGTTTTGTACTAATGCATGTCATGTTAAATGCTAATTTCTACATCTTATCTCAAGTATCCAAATACATTTCACATGAAGTTAAGTTGAGTCTCCACTTATAAGCACTGAAGTGCACCCACCTGTCAGAGACAGAAAAGCTCTGGTTTAATTTTACTCTCACCTATGTCTGTTCCTGGTGAATTAATCAGCTATTAATAAATAGCTGCTCAGTCTGGAAGAAGAGTAAACGCTCAGGAGAGACGTCTTACAGTTCTGCATGCTACAGGTGTCAGAAGAATTTTGAAGAGTATTTCTGAAAGTCTAAGCAAGTAAGTGAGCAGCATGGTGGTGCTGTGTTTAGCGTAGTGCTGGAACCCTAGGTTTCAGTTGGTTTAATAGCCCTGGGAAGTTTTTATGTTCTCCCTACGTTTGGGTGGGTTTCCTCCAGGTGCTCCTGTTTCCTCCCACAATCTAAAGACCCACTAGTAGGTAATCAGCCCTCGTGTTAATGTGTGTAACTGTGCTTGTCTGCCTTACCATAGAGTGGCATCCTATCCAGGTTTTACCCTGCCTTGCACCCCTACCTTGCCAAGATAGTCTTCTGCTCCCCCACAACCCTGAATTGGAAGCGGTTAGAAAATGACTGTATGGATAAGCAATTGATCAATTTAAACTCTCTAGTTGTTATTAAACTTCTTAGCAACCCTGCAACTGTTTAAAAATGTTTACTAAGAAGTTTGTCTGTCTGTCTTCCATAATGGCAAACAAGGAAAAAAAACTAAAATATAGCCCTATTTTAAAGTTTGTTTTTTCATTTTAACACAACAAAAGTCTTTAACATCTGAGGAAAAAATGAAGACATCATAACTTAGAAGTCCTCGTTGGTTGCAAAAATGATCAATTTTAACGAAACATTTTGAAATATAATGAAACAAGATGTTATTTCTCATGTCCATAAAAACGGCCACACACACACACACAAAACGTCCGCTATGTGTAAGTTCAAAACATCTACGGGTAATGCATGGAACGAACGAAAATATGTAGGCCTATGTTTGTTTATACAGTCTGAGTAACGAGACAAACAAAATCCCAAACAATTTTTGGAATTTTATAAATCCCTGTGGGACCGATATTGCAGCACGGCACTGCGAGTGTCGTCAACAAGGGTCTCAAGGAAAGGGAATTGGCTGAAAAGGTGACGTTCTACAACACAAGAACTGATTTCATTTAGAGGGAAATCAAAAATATCTGCATGCTACAAAGTAAAGGTAGACAGTTAAATGTGTATTTTGTCCTGCAGATTTTGTGAAAGTGTAGTGTCACACACATCCCCATCGAGGACCAGGCATCATTTTGGTTACATGTCTGGAATAGGCAGAGCCCTACAGAGGACATACTTATCAGTATTTTATGCACATTTTCAAGTTTTTGCTCCACATTTCGGTAAGGGTTCTGCAACCCAGCCCTTATTGGAGATGCTCGGAAAAGAATATCAAAATGATCATATTAATGATCATCACACCTCTGACTCAAATAGACAACTTGTGCCTCCCGTGCAACACCCTCCCTGCCATTTCTAGATTATGAGAAGGTAAACCGCAACATGGTCATCAACCTACAGTCGGCACAAATTCACTAACGGGCGACCAGTTCTGACTGACTACCAGCCCTACACAATGCTGGTTGCTTTGGATCTACTGGGGAAAGTATGACATTGCTCAGTAAAAGCAGCTGACGAAGTCTTCAGCACAGCACTGCCACTGGGATCCCATGGACCTGCCTGCTGGGCTGAGCTTGATGAATCTTCTTTTAGATTTCAGCGTCACAGTAGAGTCCTTCTGGCCCCAGCATCTGTGCGGTGTCACAGCATTTGTATATATCTGTACATACCTTCCTGTGGCCTTGTATTTATGAATGTGGTCTCAAAAGGAGGACGTCTGGTCACCCTCATTAAAACCATCAGTTACTACTGGTGATTTGGAGGTCTAGTGCAACGAATATCAGCAGACACAAGGACTCCCAATACATAGTGCGCTGTGTCCACCCCCCGATACTGGGGTATTGGTTTGCAAATTTTGTTCCAGGGGGAAGAGCACCGTCTGTGTGTGCAACAACAACAATTACCGGGCAATATTTAGAAATCTCTCTTTTTATTGGTCAAGGTCGGACAACAAGGTAGGAATTCGTGCACAAACAACTATTAGAAACCTATTGCTTGTGCACACTTTTTTCTTCATACTTTTGTTCCTAGAGTGCAAGTGTATAAACTGAACATAAAAGATAAGACGTGAAAACATGAAACATATATGGGAAAAGCAGTAGTGTGTACAGTATTGAATTAAAATAAAGAAGCGTGAAATTCGCGGAACTATTGTTTCGGACAGGGGAATTCGGCTGGGAACATTGTTTGTGCCGCACCGCTTTCCACCAATAGGTGAGCACGCCAGATCTAACAGGAGGAAGTCATCGGCGTTTGTATTAAAGTTATGGATCTGTGTGTTTTTGGACACGGGCAGCGTTACCTCTTTCTGTGAAGAAGGTAAGTTCGTTTTACTGAATGACAACTTTGTAATTAAAATGAAATACAAATAATTTCAGTCCGCACACTTTTTTTTTTTTTAATTTTCATTATTGAAGTATCTTTAGAAATTGAGTGTATGCGGATTTTTTGGCTTTATATGTATTTTTATGTTTTTACAAAGGTGAAATATGAGCGTCCAAATCGTACTCATAAGATCAGTAGGGCTCAGTTAATGGAAGAATTTCGTGGGAAGGTCCCTATAAAGTCGCTTTAAAACATAAAAATTTGACAGTAGATTAGACTGACATTAGACAGTTAATGACTGATCCGACAGCGGAATATCAAACACAAAAGTCTTTCTCGTCTTTAAAAAACCCTAGATGTGTATGTTTTAATCTAGACCAGCTTTTAGATTCTGGTCTTTTGGTATCCCTTTATTTGGGCTATTGGTTTGAGTTCGCTCTTAATCATTGAGGCTGATTAACCTTTAATAATTATTATTATAAAATGGTTGTCATTGGAATCAGCCTTCAGTCAATTTCTGTTTTACATCTCCAGTCATGCTGGTGTGTGGAATGTCAGTTACAAAATTCCACCTTTTGTGGGGATGTGGAATATACAGATTCTTTCCTTCCTGTGTCTGGACATTTTGAATTAGTTGAGCTGTTTAGACAAAAATAAGGCTGTGATCACTTAATAGAAAAGCTCAGGAAAGAATGGGTGCTATGCTACCTGCAGTTGACTGTTTTTGAAGCCAAAGACTATGTGCAAAAAAGAGTAATCAAGTGAGGAATACAAGAGTAATCAAGTGAGTAATTCAATTGTAGATAATCAAACTCAGAGGTTAAAGTGCTCAAATGCAGTGAAATCCAAAAGATTCGTGGACCCCCAATAACAGGCTTGAGAACTGAAATTTAGACTGAATCAGGGGTCTCACTCCTGGAGGGCTTATTGTTCTATTTTTTTAGGCATTTTTGTTCTAACCAAGATCTCAATTACACAGCTGGTGTAAGTATTTATTTAGCTGTGTAACTGTAAGTCTTCTAACCAAGATCTGAGGTTATTAATAGATTGCTATACCTGAAGTGAATGTCTTGTTTAACTGTAAAACACTTTAAGAAAAATCCTATACATGTCTAATTTAGAAAAATAATTAGGCTAAATGTTTAAATGACTACTGCATAAGGAGGAAAAGACAAAAAGAGAACCAGAAAATATGAGGTCCTCCAGGAACTGAGTTTAAAACTACTGCACTAAGTACTTATTTAATAGGACTTTCTTAGAACATCTGTCAGCCAGAGAAAGAAAGTGTTGTTTCCCTAAAGTAACAGCTCTTCCTGAATGGGTATCGATCAGGTGTTGCCCAGTGAGGATGCCATACCTGGGCTCAGAAGACACCGTGAAGGAGCTGAAGAGAGCTCTCTCCAACCCCAACATCCAGACAGACCGCCTCCGCTACAGGAATGTCATCTTCAGAGTCATCCGGTGAGTCCCGCTGGTACAATACACGTCTCGATAGGCAGAGGGGTTTCCCTAGAGCCAGCAGTGACTGCTTCTGCTTCCAAGGAGGGCTCACACTGTGGCAGGCCTTTTCCGTTGGAAAAACGTTCCAATGAGAAAATCCTTTATTGTCTGGTTTCCCGGAATTTTGCTGGACTCGCACTGAGGCATACCAAAAGCATAAAACCATCCATTTACACATCATGTAAAGAATAAATATGACATAAAAGAGCAGGGCAACACAGTGGCACAGTGGTTAGCACTCCATGTCCAGAATTAAACCCAGGGCACCTGTTCTGTGCCAACCACTGCTCCACTGTGCCACCCAGGGTGATTTGTGTGTAGTGCTAATGTTGCCTGGACATATAAATGTGAAGGAGCAGTATGTGTTTAAGAGGCTTAAGGGAAAGTAACAGGTAAGGTGGAGCTTCCAAATAAAAGGCAGTTTTATCGCTCGGATTGGCTGGGGACTTCTCTGTCAAGACTCAGGAGAGGAGGATGCTCTGGATCCTGAGCCTGTTTATGGTTCTTACTCTGTTCCGGCTGAAGGAGATCTGCGGCTGAAACGTCTTGCTCCCGCAGGCACATGACGCAGGGCCTGGACGTGTCTTCTCTGTTCACGGACATGGTGAAGGCCAGCGCCACGGTGGACGTCGTCCAGAAGAAGCTGGTCTACCTGTACATGTGCACCTACGCTGCCCTGAAACCCGACCTGGCGCTGCTGGCCATTAACACCCTGCGCAAGGACTGTGCCGACCCCAACCCCATGGTGCGAGGCCTGGCGCTGCGCAACATGTGCAACCTGAGGTCAGCCCCCTTCAGAAAGATTCACACTGACAGGCCTAGAGCTCCGATACAGAGCTCGCCTTCTGTATGGCTTTATTGGAGTACAAGTGCAGACATAAGTATCAGATCCCATCTGAAACATGATTGTTCAGGGGTCTGGTAATTGATTGCATGGCACAGTGGCACAGTACTGGTGCACTGGGGTCATTTCCAGGGGGTACTATCTGTGTGGAGTTTGTATGATCTCCCCGATTTTGCTTTGAGTGCTTTGGTTTTACTCCACGGTCCAAAGACGTACTGGTAGGTTAATTGGCTTCTGGGAGAACTGACTCTGATGTGTGTTAGTGTCTGAGAGTTCCCCGCAAAGGACTGGCATTCCATCTAGGGTGTACCCCACCTTATGCCCATTGCTTGCAGGGGACAAGCTCCAGCTCTCTGCAACCTTGAATAGGATGAAGCGGTAAGAAAATGGATTGATTTTTGCAGATATACTGGTAAGTTAATTGGCTTCTGGGAACATTTGCCCTGGTGTGAGTGTGTGTCTCTGTGTGTCCTGCCTTGGCCCTGTCCCTTGACAGGATAGGCTCCAGCTCTCCATGACCCTGAATTGGATGAGGTAGTTGGAAAACGGATGGGTGGATGATTGAGTATTAAATAGAATTAGATGACTGTCACTGATATGTCATTGATATTGAGATATATATATATAGATGATTTCTCTTAGAACGTGGTGGGTGCAGTGGTTGGAGATGCAGTTAATTGTTTACCTCAGCAGTTGTATGGGGAACAAGCTAGTCTAGCATGTAGAGAAGGGATTTTTCTTCTCCACTTAAGACCAGTTTTGCAAAACAAATGACATGGGAGGTTACAAAACCTAAGAGCAAAAAAAAAAGACTTTCAAAGTCATTCTTTGCATCCAGAGCAGGAAAATATTGCTGATTTCATCTTTATCTAGCATACAGTGCCAGCGTTTGTGAGACGGTTGTTTGCTGTGTTCATCCATCTCTGGTCTTCAGGTGATTTGAATTCAGTTATCTTTTGAAAGTATTAAATGACAAGGTTGGTATATGTGAGACTAGGGTTTTCTAAGTCTTATTTTCAAAAGGCAGTGTATTAAATAACTACCCTCAGTTAGGTCCAGAACACACAAAGGATGATACCAGCCAGTTATATTGGGCTCCCTAAGCACAAAAGCAAAAGAAGAAGCAAAGTGTTTTTAGTCTTATTGTACTGTTCTACTGACATTCCTGAGTTGTTAAAAACAATTAAACCAGCTAGACAGACACTCACTCTACTTAAATGCTGTCAACATTCCAGCTTCATCAGGACACATTGTCCTCATCTTTTTTTTTCCTTGTTTTTGACAGAAATCTAGCTCCTCAACAATTCGTGCGTTCTTTTTCCTTTTTTGAAACATTTCAGAATTTTTCTGAATTTCCTTTGTTTTCTGTATTTTCTGTATTTTCCATATTTGTTCCTTCCTTTTTTATAGGACAGTGTTTTTAAAGCACACTGATCCCCCGGGGGTGTTGCTTGGTTGTTCTTATATCTGTGACTCTCCGTCTTTTTCCCAGAATGCCTGGCATCTGCGAGTATGTCCAGCAGCCCCTTCTCCTCGGACTGAGGGACAAAGCTTCCTACGTGAGGCGGGTGGCAGTGCTGGGCTATGCCAAGATGCGGAAGATGACACCGGACACTGAGATCGGTGAAACAGGTTTTCTTGATTCTTGCTGTGCCCCGGAGGCAGTATCGATTTCAAGTCCGCCCTCAACACAAAACATCTTGAGCACTTCTCTGTGCTGTAGGAATTAATTTGGCAGCAAAAAACAGGGCCAAGGCTGCATTCTCAGACTGTACTCTGCAGGGCAGTATATATCCAGCAGCCCCACACTGGACTTTTTTGAACGTTACTCGTAATATGTGGATTTATGTTGGATTAAACAGGAAATCAAACAGATTTTTAGCTATTGGAATCAAATTCATTATAGATTTTTTTAGATATTTGATATAAATAATGCAGCTTTTTTATAAATTCATCCAATTACTTTTGTGTTTCCTACCTCCATTAACATTTTCAGGCAGTATGTTGGCACAGTGATTAGCACTGCTGCCATGCAGCGTTGGGTTCAATTCTTGGGCTGCTATATGCATGGAGTTTGTATGTTCTTCTCATGTTCATGTGGGTTTGCTCCGGGTTTTCCAGTTTTTTTCCCCACAATTGAAGAAGATACTGGTACTGTAGGTTAACTGGCTTGTGGGAAACTTAGCCCCGGTATGTGTGTGCCTGTGTATGTACCCAGAGATCGACTGGCATCCTTCCCAATGTGTATCCTGCCTTGTGCCTGTGGCTTGCCAGGATAGGCTCCGGGTCCCCTGCGACCCTGAATTGAATAAAGTGCTTGGAAAATGAATGGATTAAAAATGGGAGGTCTTTAGCACAGACATATCACTACACCTGTTTCAGTTTCTTGCATGACAGGACAGAAGAGTACTCTAAGTAAATTAGTTTACACAGAATATAGCAATCCTCCAGGGTTGACAACTCTAACCAACTGTCATCAAATCAGAGCTGACACCTCATATCTACTGCGATGATGATCACTACAAAAGTGCTAATGGAAAAAAGTGAATGATTATTAAGTACAAAATGGTGGGTGTCTGGTAAACAGCATTGCACCACAGCAGGAGAGTTTACATTGTTAAATCCTAAATAAGGCAACAAGTCTAGAGCTTATTTTTTCCAGATTTTTTATTAAGAGATTGTCAGTTTTATTATTTGTGTATTAAAAGGCAGATCACCAGGTTCCCAAAAGCCGAGCGCAGTACAGCACTACTGATGGAGATGCAGTAACATGTCTTTTCCTGCAGATGGCGCTGTGGTGAATGAGCTGTACGGGCTGCTCCGGGACCCTGACCCAGTGGTCATGGTGAACTGCCTGAGGGCCCTAGAGGAGATATTGAAAGAGGAGGGAGGTGTCGTCATCAACAAACCCATCGCTCACCACCTTCTGAACAGGTGCACCTAACAGGCCACGTCCCAGTGTGGAAGAGTTGTTCTAGAGCAGCAATTAGCAGTTACTTGTAGGTAGAAGACAAACGACAACTGTACTTCTGCAGTGGCTGTTTAAGCATGTGTTTGACCTGTCCAACTGGACCACAGGACAGTGACAGTTGAAAAGCTATCCAGATGGACACAGGACAGTGGCCAGTTGAAACTGCCCGCCATGAATATGTTTACTGATCTGTTGACATCTGTTTGAATCACGGCCGGATGTCTGTTCTTCTCTTCAGGATGAAGGACCTGGACACGTGGGGTCAGAGCGATGTGCTGACCTTCCTGTTGCGGTACGAGCCCCGCAGCGAGGAGGAGCTCTTTGACATCCTCAACCTGCTGGACGACCTCCTGCGCAGCAGCCACAGCGGCGTGATGGCCGCCGCCGCCCGCCTCTTCCTGCACCTGGCCGCCAGGCACCCGGGCGTGCAGGCCGACACCCTGGAGCGCGCCCGCGGCCCGCTGCTGGCCGCCTGCGCCTCCCAGTGCCGCGAGCTGCGCTTCGCCGCCCTGTGCCACGTGCGGCAGGTCCTGCGCAGCCTGCCCGGCCACTTCAGCGCCCACTTCAAGAAGTTCTTCTGCAGCTACTCGGAGCCAAGCTACATCAAGTTCCGCAAGATGGAGATCCTGACCGAGCTCGCCAACGACGAGAACGTGGACATGATCCTGGAGGAGCTGCGGGCGTACTGCACGGACGTGTCCCCTGAGCTGGCGCAGGCTGCCATCTTTGCCTTGGGTAAGCAGCTCCCCACCCCAGCTGATGTTCAGGGACGGGGGTTTGAAATCGCTGCTCTGTACGACAGCGGGAGGAAACGGTTGAGCAAGGCTGTGCTCCTGGCTTTTCTTCTGGTGATGAGACACAGCTCGATTGTCACAGACCCTCTTGCTACCGTCTGTCACTTGTCACTCATGGGAGCTGCGGAAACACCAAAGCGCTTTGTGATTATTTTTCCGCATTCTGCTTTGTTCGTCTTTCATTTATTATTCTGCTCTTTAAAAACTCAATTTCTTTCCTTTCAGGGCGCATTGGTCGAACTTACAGCGAGAAATGCCTCAACGTTTTAACCGGCCTGCAGGGACTCCGACAGGAGCACATTACTTCTGGTGAGGAAGGTTAAAACTAATCTGAAGGCTCCTTTTGGTCTGATATCTTGAATTGCGTGTGTTATTACTACAGACTCTGAGTTATTGCTAGGTGGGGAAGTATGTACATTCTGTAGGACAGTATTATAAGGCTCAGTTTTCACCATTTGTCTCTTTACTGTTCTAAGTGTCACTTACCACATGTGCAAGATTTCTTGGAATGGAACTTGAGCTTTCTTTTGGGAAAAAATGTAGATAGTTTCTAGGGCAGCAACTGGGATATTGTCACGGAGCTTGGTGCCGTGAAGTTTGTTCACTAAATAATCATTGTGCTTAATCTATACACGAGATGTGGATAACAAAGTGCAAGAAACGCGTGGCAGTGAGACACAAGAAAGACATCTTTGAAACTGGATGCCCTTGAATAGAAACTTATTTTATTTGACATGGGCAATAAGCATGCTCTGGCGTAGCGGGCGTGACGTCAGCTCCTCCTGCCTGTTACTCCCACAGCTGTTGTCCAGACGTTCCGCGACCTGGTGTGGCTGTGTCCCCAGTGCGTGCCGGCGGTGTGCCAGGCCATCGCGGGCTGTGAGGAGCACATCCAGGACAGCGAGGTAGGGGGCGCCAACATCGCAGAACAAGCTCACTCTGTACAGTCTCCAAAAAATCAGATTTCTCCAATTTCCAGCAGTACTCCCATGCCTGTGCAATGCACGTCGGCCATCTACAAGGCCCAGCACAATCTACAAACCAGGCTGCGTGATTCATATTTGTTTCTCCTTTCAGTGTATTTTTTGTCTCAATTGCATTTTCTCTCCATTATGAAGCCCTGACAGCTGTGCATTTTGCTTTGGCTGTGTTCTTGGTATACGGCTACAGTCCAAGTATTGTCGTCCTCCATCTCCAGCAATGCAGTTCATGTTTATTGAGTGCATTAAGTACATTTTGTTCAGCTTTAATTGACAATGATTTCTCTTCTAAAATGATTGAAGATGCATGCATTCTACTAAGTTATGGTAGTATTTTTATGAGTAGTTTTTAAATGAAGACAATATATTCATTTCTGAATGTTGAGAAAAGCTCGGTAGGATTTGTGTGGTGAAGACGTTTAACTGTTGCTGCACAGGGTAAGCAGGCTCTGATTTGGCTGCTGGGAATCCAGGGTGAGCAGATTCCTGGCGCCCCCTATGTGCTGGAGGAATACATTGACAGCCTGAAAACAGAGGTGTCTCCAGCCGTCAAGCTGGAGCTGCTCACTGCAACCATGCGGCTCTTTCTGTCCCGTCCTGCTGAGACCCAGGACATGCTGGGCCGCCTGCTCTACCACTGCATAGGTACAGCTTGCCTGCCTACCTCCCACCCCTCTTCTGCTTTATCCACCAC